AAGACGTAGCGGATGCATCGAAATGTCAAAGATTGTTTACCGTAGACTACGAAATATTTTTTATAACAATTCCAATAATAGTTTCGCAAAATACAAAAGCGCTAGGGATATTTCCGCGCGTTCTCGTTTATTTGATTTCCTGTTAAATGGCAATTAATATTAATCACTAAATTTCACGTTCTATAGGGACAGAAACCGATGCTATGAGAAGGCAAAACGATGAAAATCAATACGGTACGTTAGGAGCAACGAAAGGACTAAAAATTCTACTGCCTGACCACGATACGTGCTGGGTATTCCAGTACCGACGTATCTGTATTACGCAAAACGCAAAAAAATTTGAATAAACTGCTTTCGGCAACTGCTGAGAACACTTCGCAAAATAAAATAAAAGAATAAAAGGTTCACAGAAAACGAGAAACACTCACCGATTCCGACGGGACGCTCCGAAAGACCAGTGGCGGACTACCGGGATTCTCTATACGAGGAGCCTAGGAACATGGGAACGCCTGGTACGCTCAAGCAATCCTTCTTCATCGATGTTATAGACTCTATGAGTGAATCAATCTGTTTTATCATTTAATATCAATAACTTTCCTACTTCCCTGGATGATTACCAAAAGCGGTCTGTAAAATCTCCACTGGAATTGACGGACTGAAGACGGTACGTTGTAATCTTAAAATTTGTCGTGCAAACCAAATTGTAAAGAGGAATAAGACGGCTTCCTATTATTTCGTCCACCATTCATTTTGTCCACCATTCATTTTGTCCACCATTCATTTTGTCCACCACTCATTTTGTCCACCGCTCATTTTGTCCACCACTCATTTTGTCCACCACTCGTGTGGTGGACAAATTTTGTAGTTCAGCACTCTTCCCTTCCGATTAGTCAAAGAAAACGTCACCTCAGCGATTATTATCATATATAAATAATCACAATCTAATTGCGCAGGATATCGTGCTCAATGTATTTTCTATTCTTCGACTTTCAGATAATAATATCATTCTTAACACTCAACTGACAAGGTAGTTCGATTTACATAGAAGTATACGTACTTGCAGATGCAAGGAATTAGATGCGCGCTACATCATGTGCATAAATCGAACTCAACTGTATTGCTTGCCTACTGTCTGCTTAAGTATTACTTAACCCGCTCAGTTTCGAGACGCATAAACAGCTGCGCAGTACTGGGTACGTTATCAGTATTGCGTGCAAATATGCCAAATATTTAACCGCAACGTATATTATTATTGTAGTAATGGCATGCGAACTGAAATCACAGTAACGAATACTAATGATATACGAATTGCGTGTGTATACAATCTCATACAAAGTATTATGTTTTAGATTGCTGCGCGCATCTCAGTTTATTAAATTCATTTCACACTAGCTTTGTCTTATAGAAAATAAAAATACCGTACTCTATGAATTGTATAGTGGACAAAATAAATGGTGGACAAAATGAATGGTGGACAAAACGATGGGTGGACAAAACGATGGGTGGACAAAATGAATGGTGGACAAAATGAATAGACACGAATAAGACTGACTGCCACCTCACTCGAGCGGAGCTTGCTGTTGATCGGGTAAAATATAACGCGGCGGAAACGCGCATATACTGTAATCCGATGTGTACAATGTACCTGTACAGTTTAATACGAACAACATTGTCTCATAAATCTGTAGATCTGTAGATACAAAAATCTGCAGTCTGCAAATTTCTCATATTTTAGCTGCCACAACTGACAAGTAATTATAAAAAAAATTGCAAGGAATACTAATAATTGTTATTTTTTCCTAAACGCGGCTTACATATATAACGAAAATTAGCTCTATCCTTACATAAACGTATTAGAGTTGACCTCTAATGTAAGTGAGAAAATCGTTTGTACACTATAGCAATGCGGGCAAATCGACAGTAAGCCACATTAATATTGATTTTTGTGGCAGGAAACTGACAGAACAAAAGTCCACTATTCATCTTTCCGGTATTGAGTATTCTGTATTTAATTCGTGTTGGTGGTTATTTACCGGGATTGCGCAGATGCGTCTTCCACGTTGTTCAAAGTATATCCAGTGCACATACGCAGGCGAAAGTTAACATTCTGGTAAAATTAATGATATATGCGCATTTATACAAGTAATTCCGCAAGAAACAGGCACCAAATACAATCACATCATAATTACCGACTCCATCAGTGATATTTTGTTGACATGCAGTAAAAAAATTAAAAGCAGCACGTTCTCGCATTAGGCTATCCCCGTGATATCTTAACCACTATATCCGTCAACAAGATGAGCAGCATAACCCCATAAATTCTTTGGTAAGGTCAAATTAATGCAAATCGGGATATAGTAATTATTAATCCGAGCAATCATGATACGCAAACGGAGGTGCATGCATGATGTATCTGTACAAGCGCTAATTAATAAAAAATCCAGCAGTTCTGGTGCTTGCTGCACAAGACAAAGATGTTTACGTTTTCTCCAGAGCATGACTGCATGTAAACGCTACTACGACGAAAAATTAAGTACATTCTGCAGTACAGAATGCAGGATCTGATAATCTGCAGAATGCAGAACTCTAGAATCTACTTACACAGCAGTAACAGCATGCCCATCTGGTGAGTGATGAATCAGCCCTTCTTATCGCGCCATGCTCCAGTGTGGATGTTTCCGACATGTGAAAATGGGAGCGGCATAGTCGTTCAATACGGCAGGACGGTACCAAAGTGATACTCGTTATAATAATTCAGTATTTATCACACTTGCACTTTTTCCTTTCGGTTACTGCGCCTCGCAATTCAAGGCCAAAACGTTTCCACCGGAAAACGCGCTGACCTTATACCGTGAACTGGCCAACCGCTTGAACAATCCTTCTTCCAGACGTGTGTACAACACAGTCTAGCTGATATGCATGGCAGTCCGGATTGATTCCACCTTCGCAATCTTACTAAAGCAGCAGACATAATATTCATAAAAACTGCTATCTTTTTTCTCCAGCAGAACACTGTACAAGCAGCATAATCGTGCATTTGAAAAGAACGAACACGTAGTAATACTTAAACTTTAAAAAAAGATTTTTGTTCCCGAAAATGACGAATATACGTGTACATATGAGATGAGGGTTACATGCGCATGGATAAAGCTGCCGATAACCGGCAGCCACGCAGGCATATTTCCTGTGCTTTTAATCACGGCATAACAATTTCCTGATATGTATTTAAGTTTTTCTTCTTTGAACATACGCTCGTCTGCAGTATACATACAGTTATTACGTGTCGCGGGTGTAGAAACATAATCAGGTATTTTACCATGACCAGCATCCAGCTGCATAAAAAAATTTCTTTTACTGTTACCGATTGCTTATTTGTATGTATAAGAAAGAATGAACCTGTCTATCGCAGTTAAAATAGGATAAGCTGACGGAAGTGAGCCTCTGTTAATCTTTCTCTTCCCGGCCATGGTGCATTGTCATACTTGATACCGCATACGTACTCGGATATTGTGAGTGTCACCATTTTGCTCGTTTTAGTATGACTTCAAGTTACGCTGTTAATAACTGCGTATTATTTTTTTATTCAGCAAACTGCCGGGAAAGTTTAATATCTACACATTTCTAACGCTGACGCAGCAGAGCAGAGACAACAAAATTTAAGAATTGAATACTAAGCCTGGCACGAATGGTCATCAGTATCAAATACAAAAAAATACAGTTGATTGCCGTAACAGGCATTCATCATCATGTCGCAATAATCACACCAGTTCGACTGGCAGAACAAGGAGCATAATTTCAGAAAATGCAGCGGTGCAGGCAGGCATGCTGCGCTCCTCACAACAACAGTAACCAATCCTAATACCGAAGAACGTAATACCTTGCAGAACAAAATGCAGAAAATAACAAACGAGGAGCAGTCCTCAAACAAATGCACCACCACTTTAACACAGTTAACAGCATAAAAAAGTAAGAACGGGGCACTACACAGTGGGGGCATGCAAGTCGTCACCGCCTAAAATTCTATCTCCATGTCCGTCGGCGCATTCTTCATCTCTTCGTAAGCCAGTTTGACGCGCTGGCGGACACTCCCCATCTGTTCTTCAGAAAATTTCGCCTCTTCCGCAAAAGCGCTGAATAGCATCCACGTAAAGCGTTCGCTATGCTGCCGCTCCGACTGGACCTGCTTCGACAACTGCGCAATCATCTCTTTAATCTCCCCGACATTATCAGCGATGTTGTCGACCTTGCGCTCCAGATTTTCATGGCTTTTCTTCAGGTCACTGATGTCCGTTTTCATCGTGCGAATGTCCGCCTTCATCAGTCCGATGTCGCCCTGCATTCTGGTAATGTCAACCTGCATGGCCTCAACGTTCTCCCCAATTCGTTCGACCTGCTTGGCCATGGAGTCGTACGAAGTCGCCAGCCGGTGAACATCTTGCTCGACCTTGTGCAGCCACTCCTTGACCGCCACGACCTCTTTGTAGATCTCGTCAGTCATTCGCGCGACCTTGCCGACTTCATAATGGAAGATGTGGAAGGCCATGGCCGTGCGATGCTCCAGAATTTCCGCCTCCATGCGGTTTTTGTGGATGATGTGGAGGACATAACCGGCGTCAGTTGGCTGTGGATCGGCTTTCAGGTACGCGGTCAACTGGCCGTCCAGTACCAAATAGTTGTGGATATTGGCCTTCACATCTCCTTGCAGGTGGAAAAGAATGTCCATGAGGCTGTCATTGTCGGGCAGAGGCGCTTCGGGATGCTAAATACAAACGCAATCAAATTAACTTATGTTAGGCAGACAGCTGTGGACTACATTAACCAAACGATATCTGTTCCTGCCGCGTATCGTAAACCGCAAATACAGACTCGTATCTCAAATTAAATTCGATTCGTAACAACAGAAACGACAAAAAGCACTATTATTCTTCCTTTAATAATTTCTGGAATTAAATACTTACCAATGCGCGTGCCATTTCCGCTCGTTGGGCGTCATTGAGGTAATACATTCTTGAGCGCGAAACCTGTTAACAAAACACCGAACTGCACATCAGTACGTAATTTGATGGATAAATAAATGTAATATTATCGATATCTACAGATATAAACCATCGTGCAACGAGTGCCTTTAAAGCGGATCCATTAAGAACTGTTGGATGATTGGCGCCAATCAATAAATAACAAAACCGTAGCGCCTCAATCGTTTGCGCAGCGTTAGTTTTTAAATACAAAATATTACATAAATAACTTTCCAAAACATCTCACCGGAAAACAGCTTATTAGAAATCTGGCGCGAAGATTTGTTTTATGTACATGCAACGAGCATTTTATTAATCTGGAGTTTTTAAAACGAAAAAAGAGCATTTGATGGCGTATGTACAGATTTTCCAAACTTTTTCTGATATGAGCTGAATTGTTCTGATTTTTCCGCAAACTCATTCGCTGATCAAATCGGAGAAACGCTTGTTACCCACTTGGCGCATGTTGAATATTTCCAAAAAGCTATTCTGAAAGAAAGTAAATTTTGTGCATTAAGTTTACTAGTTGTAGCCTCGAATTTTCGGTCAAACGAATATGCTCCTGACATTGCGATTATTAAACTTTTTAGTGTTAATTTTACCCAAGCAAAAGCAAAAGACAGGTTGCAAGCGAAGCGATACGTGGACATGTGCTACGGCACTATTCACGCGGAGATGCATGGGCACGTTAATCGTTGGTCACAGTGCAAGTTGCGCTCACCGGCAATTCCATTTAAATTGCGAAATAAAACGGATCGGCCACTCTATTGCTTACGGTAGTTAGAGGATTACCAAATTTAATATCTTTTAATAGTGAATAAATAAATGCCATATGTTGGGGAAACATTTTTGCTACATTTTTAACTACAAAAATTATGGCAAAAATCGCAGTAGCTCAAACGTCTAACCCGCAAAGCGCATTTGAAATAGCAATCAGTTAATAAATTACAGTATCTGTAGGATGTGCTTTCCTTTTTTATAATTCTGAAGAAATATAATAGCTGTTTTATGTTTTGCTGCAAATACCGAAATTAAGAACAGTCTTAAATTTGCTACTCAGGTCTCACTGCTCTTCACACCAGTTAGCATTTGTAGCTGCGGCGTGAACCGATTCCCAAGTATTCACTCAGCGTGAGAAAGCTGCCTCATGCCAGTCAGGACCAGTTAGCAACATGTGTCTCTCTGAATCCTCTCTCTGAATCCCGAATACTTAAACAAACAGTTCATTTAACACATTGCTTTGGGATAGATACAATTATTTTTACGGAATTTGAAAGAAGGCGCCCGCCGCTATTAACTGAAGAAACATTAAAAGATCGTAAATATAATGAAAGTACCGCCACATCACAACATACGTGCAAGCACTCGCAGTTAATATAATTACATACGATTACAAAGCAAAAAGAAAGTCAAGGCGCCCACTTACGTGGAAGGAACAGGAAACTCAAAACTTCAGCGAATCACAAAATCTCTCCAAACACCTGCAAAACAATAAAGCAGCGTGTTATATAATTTTGGTTTCACGGTTTCACCTATGTGCAGTTTATTACTGAAACAAAAATAGTGCATTCTACTTGATACTATCAAGCAAAAAAATAGTAATCAAGTAATAAAACATTATTAAGTACGTAAGTGATCGAGTAATTAGTAAAATAATGGAAGGCTATAACGACTTTGGGTATCCTTGATTCTCACGGCTATCGGATTGCTTAACAAATAAAAAACGAAAAACCATGCACGAACATTGCGTGCAAAGTACGCGTATAAAGATTACTGTTTTCTTGTTAAATAACACCGCCGATTCTGGTAAATGTTGGTGTAATGGTTATCGTATACGTCAAAATATAGAGAAATTTCTACAGTAAACTAAAATTACTTTCATAATATTTTCCAAAAATAAGTTCACAATTTAAACGGCGCTGGAGACAGCTTCCCACCTAATTCCTCCCTTAAATAAATTTGCTGCTGCTGAGTGCCAATTAAGTACTTAGTAATTAATGCTACATGGTATACTATAAGCACTAATTGTAAGCCTGGCTGAGCCAGTACCGGAACGTACCAATACCGGAACGTAGTACTATTAATGCGATACGTACGGAATGTATGAAAATTAATTGCATGTTTAATTACAACTCGTTATAATGCAGCAGTATGCCTGTATGGTATTGCAATTTTTAAGTACTTTATTTCCATAGCGCGATAATAATATCGAGATATAATTACGATTAAATTAAATGAGCTAATTAGTTAAATTAAAATTGCAAATCGATCCTAGTGGCTAGTGGCAATGCCAATATCTGCGTCACGTTAACGCACGCACGCACGTGCGCAGAGCGAGCCCGCCGTTTCTCCCGGGCGATGACGTCACTGCCAGACACACGAACCCGCACGGTACGCTTGCATCACCTCGCCGAAGTTTTTCGGTTCTCGGGACAAACCACGAAAATTCTCGATAGGAAAATGATGATGTTTTACGCGGTTGTATTACGATTTTACAAATACGACCTTTATACTGCTGTAGACACGATTTTTGAACGAAATGTACACGCTCAAAAGCTGGTGAGGAATAAAATGCTCATTTAGCGAATAATTCATTAAATTTCACGATCTAGGGACGCCGAGGTAGACAAAAACTAAGGTCATAAATTATCAAAACGATAGAAAACGTTAGTGCACTCAAAGAGAAACGAAAATACTGAAAATCCACTGCACAACCACCAAAAAGGGAGAATAAATCACCGTAAATAAATTACGCATAAATCGTATGCATCACATTTCTCTGCAAATCTCCGGAAAAAATTCTCCGACTGCTGTCATCTACTGCGGAAAACACGTGAATCTTCACAGAAAAAAGCGTAACACTCACCGATTCCAGCGGGATGCTCCGGAGGCAGTGTAGGACTGTCGGGTTCTTAAAGGTGAGATCCTGGGAACATACATACAACGCCGCTTACGATCCAGCAACCGTTCGTCTCAAAGCAAATTGATATTAGTGACTACTGACTACTCTAGTATGTGGAATATAGTTTTCTCGTTTATGGTGATAAAGTTTCTACTTACCTCGACGATGGCGAAAAAAAAACGGTATATGAAGATCGTTAGGAAATTGCGAAATAGCTGCGAGAATCTGTAATGATGTAATCGTTTAAGAAAATCAGGCAGGAAAATTTTTCAAGCGAGAAATGCGACAGACTGCCAGTTTCAGCTCTCCACTCGAGCCGTCGAACGCAGGTTGCTTCGATGCTGTACGACCGTACCTGTTGCATGGGACGGTTGTACCTAACTAGCCCCGCCCCGGTCCAGCGATCTCTCTGCCCGATCCTATGCAAACGAGCAACGGGAACGACAGTTTGGTGTTTCGAATTCAGCAGCCAATGCGCGTTGGCAAGTAAAAATGCGCCGTCGAAACGTAACGGCGTGTGCGACTGCCAAAATTTACGTAGCCACATTTCCCTTCTCGTCGCGAATTCCTGCTCGCAAATTCTTAGAACTGTAAGGAAAAATCAGGAATTACTGGACGCAAATGCATGTACGCGAGTTAGAAAACCACTTTTAAACCAGACACGTAAAAAAAGAGGACTATCTGCGGAAGATGCTAGCTAAGGTCACTAACAAATGCTGATTAATTAAGCAAAATTATTGTTTTTATCGATAATGATATTGCCGTAACGAATTGCTTTTTAACGTGGTGTTCCATAGTTAATAAAAAATTATCAGTGTGATTTGTCGTTTGCTCCCCTTTTGCAGACAGATATACAAAGCAATGTGTCATCCGCGAACAGCCACAAAAATACGATTGACATTGTCAATTTGACAATGTCGGGCGAACGCCTGGGTTTGGCTTTCGAGTCGACTGGCCATCAAAGGCTGCCGACATTCCATCTCTCATTCCATCGTACACAAAACGAAAAAAGTGAACTCTGTTCCAGCTGTCTGGAAATCTTAAAACCCTGCTCGCAACAACCTGTCTTAAACTGGATCCATCCTTTCGTAATGCCAGCTGTTAGTAATAATATTAATTTCTTGATAAGATGTGCATCGAGAATTTTTAATAATCACATCGATTGTATCCAGTATTGTATGGATCCGTTTATTGCAGCTCCAGTACAACATAGTCCAACAATAATAATAATAAATTTTGTGTGAACTTAGGCTTTTTTAATTTTTAGTGAATACAAGTCCGCAGGGAAAATCGTATATACAAAATTAGATATTAACTAGAGTACTGTATATCCGAATTAACAGTTGTACGTAAGGATAACTCCTTTTTAAAGTGTCCATATTTTGAACCAGTTGTCAATAGTAAGCAGTCAATAACTTGCTGTTAAAGGCTGTACCAGTATCAGTGCACAAATTATCAAATATATGCACAAATTATTAAATATATCAAATTATTAAATAATACAGCATGATTTTACAGCCTGTAAAATAACGAATATAAACCTCTATAATCCATTGTGTAAAGAGACCGATGCGCACATGACCAGATATGTACAGTTTTGAATCAATTTCGGAGCGAATCCATATAAATCTATAATTACTAATCTGTATTTTCGACAAATCTATCGTATTTTAGCCGTAACAATTTAAAAGTAAGTATGTAAAGAAATTGAAAGGAAAACTGATTCCGATTTTCCTTTAACCAGCTTACATACTCGTGTAATTATTGAAAACCAACGAACATTAATTTAAATTTTATATAATCAGCAAGCTTGTTAGAGTAAAACAGTTTATAAGCGAAGAAATGCAGTTTATAAGCGAGAAATGCGTACGTACAGCGATCGGTACTATGCTGACCAACATCTACATTTGTTTTGCCGAAATGTACAATTTATATGTATTGATCGCATAACCTGGCAAAAAATATTCCAGTATTCTTCGTTAAAATTATACGGTTTACGGGTTATTTACCGGCTTTGTGTCGTTGTGTGTTTACGTTGTACATGGTATTCTGGTCCAGATACTGGACAGGCCCATGCATCCAGAGTAAATAATAATACGCAGCTGGAGTTATTAATATGCCAGGAAAATGAATTCGCATCTGTACAAGTAATTCCATAAGATGGAACAGACAACATCTCCCAGCCACATTATAATTGCAGACATTATCTGATGGTTTGTGCATGGCAACCAGCAGAAAAATGGGAAGCAACAGGTTCCGTAATGTGCGGTAACAATAATCGTAACCATTGTATCCGTCAACAAGAAACCACGAAAATTTGGTAATCCTTTCGACAAGCTAGACTTAATAAAATTCCAAGTTGAGGCAGTCGTTTAATGATCCCGAGTCCCCGACAATCATGGGACGCAAGCTGGAATAGATGTACATGAACGGAATAAAATGGCCTGCGATTCCGATGTACACTGCAGTGCTGCACAACACAAAGAAGTTCTCGTTTTCCTGCTGAGCGCGACTGGCATGAAAACGGAAATTCTGCAGTACTTTTGTAAAATGCCGAATCTGATAAGGAACGAACGCTTTGGTATGCACATTACACATCAACAGCACTTGTAACAGCATGTACGTCTGATGGATGGTGAATCAGCCATCCTTATCTCGTCTTGCTCCATTGCTGATGTTTTCCGGTATGTGCATCTGGGAGCGGCATAGTCGTTCTCTGGGGCCGGACGGTACCAAGCGAGTACGCTTCGTTGAACTTTGTTCCTTTGGGTATTGCTATCTGGCGAACCGAGAATGTAAGTGGCCGGGCACGCCCATGGATAGTTGTCGAATGGCACCGTGGCACCGCTGTATACAGGAGTTCGTAAAAGGTCATGGCGAAGGTCGACCATTTGGAAGACCTAAGGAAGCAAACCGTTGCTCGCTTGCTCATCCTAGGAAGCAGTGGTGACAGTTGGTGTCTAGCCTTCGAGGTCAAGTCGAGCTGTTAAGGATCTCTGTGACAGTTGGTGGGAATAATGCTGCGGACCAGGCGTTCCCTCGCGGTGTACAGGTAGCCGCTTAAAACGCCCAGGTAGTCCTTAACTTAAGAGTATTCAGTATCCGGGCGATCACAGTACCGCCGCTGCTCTCCTGGAATCGGTGCTTTTGTTTGAGTAGTGATGGGTTGTCCACAAGTCCTGTGGCAGCGGCGTAGGAAGCATCCTTTCTTGTTTTTGGGGTGCCAATGTTCACCCGAATACACTGCGCGAGGGCTGGTCTAGGAAATGTCCAAGGTCCTCGTGCTGTTTATTTAATATTCAGGTAAAACGATATACGCATTTGTGCAGATAATTCCGCAAGATGGGACAATTCCATTCCACTCCATAATTTCAGAATTCGGCCGACATTTTGCACATACCAAACAGTATGCAAATCGAAGGCAACAAGATCCCATCCTCGTAGTCATCACTAATATTTATATCTGCCACCAAGATGAACAGGATAATTCGGTAATACTTTCGAAAAGCCAGAAATAATAGAACTGCAAGTTGAGGTTGCCGCTTTAATAATCCCAACAATCAGGGGACGCAAGAATAAAAATGCCTGCAATTATGATGAACACTGCACAAGACAAAATGTATACTTTTTCCTGCTGAGCGACTAGCATGGAAAGGAAATTCTGCAGAGCACAGAATGTGATAAAGGAAGAACGCTTTGGGATGCAGTCAATGCACTTACCCAACCACAACAGCACACTAGTGGTGAATCAGCCCTTGCTATCTCGTAATGCTCCAATGTTGATGTTTCCGGCGGCGTAGTTGTTCAGTGTACCGGACGATACCAAGCGAGTACGCTTCGTCGAACTTTGCTCTTTTGGTTATTGCGCGGTCAAGGGCACATGCGACGCTATTTCACAATTGAAAACCAAAACGTTTCCGCCGGAAATCGCTGACCTTGGACCGTGAATCAGCCACCCGCTCGAACACTCCATCTTTTCAGACGTGTGCACAAGGCACACAGGTGGCCGGTCCGGACTGATGGTTGCACCACCGCGTTCTCAACGAAGAGTTAAAACTTGGGTTACTGTAAATTCATACAACCTGCTACGAGTTTGTGCCGTATACGAGCAAGCAAGCATTGTACAAATATTTCGTATTTCGCAAGCATTGCTCCGTATTGTACATTTATTCGTTTACTGCAGCAGCACATTGTGCACTTTGGTCTTTGAAAAGCGGGAAAACACAGTCTATGTATTGTGCTATTTTCAAAATATTTTAATCAGTACTCGTATTATTTATAGTACAATTTATAATAATCTACTTTTGAAATATTTTAGCCCATTTTTGAAACATACTTATACACTGAAGGATAATTTAACTAACGCTGCGGCTGAAATTGAAATGCCGATTTTGGTGCTTAAATTATAAAGTTAAATACTTACCTCGAGTACATCGATAATCCCGCCAGATGCCGTGGTCACGTCTTCACGGAAACGTCGATAAGTGTGATGACGGCGTCCATATAGCTATTGGACAGGCGATTGTTGCGAAGTAAATGGGCTCGCGCCCTTCAGCGGCGTGATCGGGAGGATGACAGCCGCGCGTCACCTCCCGATGATGCCGTGAGGCCCTCCCAACGTCCCGATGGCCACGGCGATGGTTACTGAGCAGGTTGCAGAGACGCACAAGCTTTGGCACCTAAACTACAAACACAAAAACATTCGTACATATCTAAAAGGCGGTGATATCCCAACGGAGAACGGGGCCGGGCTGTCGTTATCGGGGTACGTGGAGAGCATGGGTCGACGGCTTAAACAGTGTCTGTCAAACCGGGGGACGTAAGGTTTCAGTGCATGGGCGCCCTTGTTGATTATTTCGCGGAATAACGCCAGCCTGAGCCTCCTGCGTCCCCTGGAGGCCCTGCCCGACCACTAAAGATGTACCCACCGGCTTCTATTCGGTGAGCATGCAGCTTATGCATTCAACATCCTCCGCGTATATGACGGCTTTGGTGTACACTTAGCGCACCATGCAGATGATTCGGCTTTTCGTCAACGGAAAGGTGATTCCTGTAATGGTATCAGGAAAAGGCACTACAGCAAAAATCAGCAGCGCGGCCACCTGTTGATCCGGCATGCCCATATCACGCCCGAACCACACGGTGCCAATCTCCCGCTGGGTAAGGGAATAAAGCCAAACCGATGCCCTGCACCGCCAGGGTCATTTCGCAGTGATATCGGCGCCTCTCGTGGCGATGCTGGCCTTCAAACCGGTGACGTCGGCCTTGATGGCTGCAATGTCCTGTTTCATCAGGATTAAGCGCACTTGAATATCGTGGTCCGGCCATTCAGCAGGCTCCGCACCGGCTCTCCGACTTCTTCCAGGCAAGCCTTAATTGCCTTTACTTCCCGGCAGTGAAGGCTCGCCTGCGAGAAGTGGGTAGTGATCTACTCGTTCAAATCCGCCAATCTGCCGACTTCGTTATACGTAGGGCGATCCCAGTGGGTTGCGCCAGGCTCTGGGCGTGCAGGCGCTGAACTTCAGTCCCGTGTACGGTCACCAGGTACTCGTTTCCGACTAGAATGTTTCTTGGTTTGTAGTTGTGCAGCTCGTCCTTCATCGCGCGCCAAGTTTTGTATGCGCTGCATGCAATCGGATAGAGTATCCGGGAGACTGCGTCCGGTGGAAATGGGCACTCGTGCCTGCTTAAACGCAGTTCCGATCAGAGTAGTATGGCCGACAACGCTTTGGAATACGTAGAGTCACCCAGCAGCAACATCATCCATCTTGTGGCGGTGAATCGGCCGTCTTCATCTCGTCATACTCGAGCGTTGTTGTTTTCCGGCGTGTGCATTTCGGAGCGGCATCGTTCACTTGGGCCGGACAGTAATAAGTGAATTCAATCTCTGAATTTGTTCTTCTGGTTATTGCGCGGTCAAGGGCACATGCGGGGCTATCTCGCAATTCAAGGCCAAAGAGATTCCGGTGGAAAATCGCTCACCTTGAACCGTGAATCGGCCGTCAAACGAACATTCCATCCTTCCAAATGTGTGAACAACACACGCTCGTATGCCAGTCCGGATAGGTGGATTCCACTCCGCATTCTAACTGAAAAAGCGCGCCAACATAAATTATATTCTTACAGACTGCCGATTGATCGTACAACTTATACTTTGTATTTCGCAAGCAATACTGCGTACATTCAGTTGTCATTTCTTGCAACCAGCACACTGTGCCTTTGTGCACAAATTACGCGTAATTACATAATGCTTTAACCCGTTTTACAATTATTTTCAAAAAACTGCAGTCTGCAGGATATAACTAAATTAACTTCCGCTGCAGTGACTGAGCTGCTGAAATTAAAATGCCGATTTTGCTGCTTATCTTCAATTATAAAATCAAATATAGTACTCAGCTCGATAACATTGGTACTTCCGCCAGATGCTGTGGTGACACCATGACGGCGATGTCGACAAGTGTGATGACGGCATTCAAAGTTATTTATTACGAAGCAAATGCGCTCGCGCACAATAATGGTGTAATAGGGAGGCTGTCCCGCGCGCATCCGCGAGCTTCCGGATGACGCCGTTCGAGGCCCTCCCGACGTCCCGATGGACACGGTGATGGTCACTGAGCAGGTCACAAAGATACACAAGCCCTGAACGTCGTAACTACAAACACAAGAAAACATCAATATTGTGTGTGAACCGGAACTTCCGGAAGTGCTACGCGCCCGGAAGCTTCGTATAGCAAATAATTTAACGTATGCGGCCCGCTTTCACGAGCAAGGGGCAACATAGGGAAGATGTCACGTGGCAAACCGACAAAGTACTAATGAGCCAAAAACTGAACACCATGACTTCCGGTTGTGGCGCCGGCCGCGATGTGCGCAACGTGTGGAAAACCTGTCGATGCCGACTGCTCGAGCGTCAGATTCCCGCCACTTCCGGTCTGCTTCCGACCACCACTGCCGCTAACTACGTAGCCGGATGCCGCAAGGCACCCTTCCGATTTCTCGTCGAAGTTGCCGGTGCATGTATTCGAGTAAGTACACACTACACTTTTCAGCCGAGCGACGACGACGTCGATGGCGAACGATGGCGGACTTAACAGCACGATTCTTCGTCTGTTCATCAGAAACGAAAAACCCTTATCTGCGCGATTATATCTGTTACCAGCGCTGTGGTCATCCTGCTTTCAACTTCTCCATCAGAAACGATAAAGCTCATTCCACCTGAAAATGTACATGTATCAGTGGCACAACAGCTTACACTAGCAAAGAAAAGCGAGAAAATGCGCCAATTTAATTTGTTTCTCCTGTAAGTGCGAAAAGCGCACATCATGCGCAGTAGTTAACTTAACGCGACCTGAGCAGGCGCAGCTTATTTTACATCGGCCTTTTCTAAAAATTATGCCTGCGCGTTTGATGGTCATTTGTCTTTAATCGTACAGAAACACGGTCAAACACCTACAGTAACTTTTGAAAGACGATTTGAGTAAGCGAAGCATGATACGGAAGCGCTACTTCAAATTAACTAACAGCTCATTGCGGAACACACATACCGATCTAGAAAATGCCACTCACTTACCGACACGAAGCGGAATCTCCCAAACCTTTGGCGGCCCAGGTATTCTCAAGTTTGGTATCCTGGAAACTACAGATGTGGATCACCACATCCGAACGTCACGGCGGTTCCGGCTGCCCACAAATCCAGCGAGCAGAATTCTCTCCTTGAAATTCCTTATCGAAATTTCCAGTAACAAATACTTTAAGGAGATTGTAAATTATTCTGTAAAGATATTTTGTCTACGGGATCTATAACCTGACGTATAAAAAGGATAAAAAGGTATACGCAACTGCAAGCAGCAGGGTTTCATAACCATGGCAATTAGCAATGGATCAGTTTTGCAGCTTCCTTCGTAAATTCCTTGTCGTAATTTCCAATTACAAATACTTCGAGGAAATTGTAAATTACTCTGTAAAGAATAAGATACTCGTAGTTTGTATACGGGATCTATAACATGACGTGTAAAAACGAAGAGCAGTACTTCTATATATACAAGGTCGCAAGCAACAGGATTTCATAATCAGCAATGGATCAGTTTTGCAGCTAACCAGATTCATTAGAATATAAGTAATATTACTTTGAAATACAGACTACTTCGTTTAGCAATCCCAACAAACAGTTCAACCGAAAATAAAATGTATTTTTGATCCAGTTATGACTGAAGCAATATTCTAATTTCTAGAGTAGTGTAATTCAACATTCTGTGGCTTAAGATTGTACAAGTAAACTCAAATTAACACCGTTAAAGGGAAACTTACTTTCAAAGCTATGTTCCCCCTTTATAATGCAAGGTGCTGACTCCACAACAAATACGTGAATCAAAACCAAATCCAGATGCCTGCGCCTCGGGATACCTGATTTTAATTTACGTATTTGCCCGTATTAATCCCGGATTTATGTATAAGGAGAAATGCCCAGAATCCATCGAGTATTTCATGCAAGACTGCCAGAAAAACATTATAAAACAGATGCATCGCATTCCTTGATGTACATTCCACAAGATATCGCAATTACTACTATATCCGCTCAAAATAATTATGATCAGAATTGTTAGACAATCCTTTTCCGGAAGTCAGATCGAATGACAGAACTAGATAGATTCCACGCGGTAGTGACGGTTTACTACGCTACTAACTGGATCGAAATCGTCAAATTATGGTACGCACTACGCAATGAAACAGCCTGCTTGAAAAATTTGGCAAAACAGAATGATACGCTGCGAGCCTGCGATCACAATATCATATCACAATATCATCACAATAATAAATATCACACTGTACAGGACGAAGACGCTTTCTGCTTAGCAGCCTCAGCCATATTGAGCATGAAAACGGTATTGCAGAGAGCATATGAACGGTTTGGTATGACTGTTATTACACGTCTGTCTGGTAGTGGTAATCAGCCCATCTTATCTCGTCAAGCCCCGATGTCGATTTTTTTTGGGCACGTGCATCTGGCAGCGGCATAATCGTTCACGCTGTCCGGACCACGGTATAGAGAATAACATTTTCTGTTTTCAGCTTATGCACGCTTCGTCGCACTGTACTTTGGTCCTCATATCAAAGGGTCAAGGGCATAGCGCTGTCTTTCCTAGCTTCACAGTTCGCAGTTTGTTGATGGTCGGCTGCTAGGCGGTTTTTGATACCAACATTCGGACCTGCAGTATTTTGAAAAAAAATTAGAAAGCAACAGCTCGGAAACGGCACAATCAAACTCAGAAGAAGCAATCTAGAAACGGCATTTACCGTTCACATATTCGACTACCGAAGGCCAAGATAGAGGCTCTGTCTCGTACGGAGCAGAATAATTGTCTTTGGAGGCATCGCGACATCCAAGAGCAGGGAGCAGGCAGGAACCATCCTCGAGGTTCTTGCAATTAGTTTTCCGGTTGCCGGGCAGGATTCGATACAATTTGCAAAGGAAAAGGCCGCCACGAGAGCAGTGGCTGAGCAGCGGTGGATTTTCGTCTGCTGACCAGTTTTGACTCTTGAATTTCGCATCGAGAGGCGACGTTAAATTACGATATCGGGACTCTTAAGGATGCTGGTTGTCAAGCATCAGTCTCAGAATCTTAACCGTACAGTATCTTCGTTAGTGTAAGTGTAGACGTCCATGGAAAGCTGAGTGGCACCGCGCTGGATACACGTCTTGCGTAAAAGGTCATGTCGGAGGTCGACTGTTTCGAAGATTTGTGGAAGCAGAATCAGAGAGCACCGGTCGCTCGCGTCCCAGTATGCACTGGTGACAGCTGGCGCTTAATCTTTGCTTGTAGTCAAGCTGTTAACGATCTCTGTGTCAATTTGTGGGAGTAATGCTGCTTACCAGGCGTTCACTCTCAGTGCCAGGTAGTCCGCCTAGGACGCCAAGGTAGGTCTTAATTTATCAGTATTCAGCATCAAGGCGATCACAGTGCAGATGTTCACCTGGAATCTGTGCTCTTGTTTGGGTAATGGTGGGAATTGTCTGCAAGTCCGGCCACAGCGGCCGGTAGGAAGCATGCCTTTGTGTCCTGCTTTGGGGTGCCAATGCTATCCCGTATGCACTGTGCGGGGACAGTTTAGCAAATGTCCAAGGTCATCGTGCTGATTTCTGTGGGAGCAACCAGCTCTTTACTATTCTGACTGAACAGCATGAGTTGAATCAGAGCTAAAAGCGTCGACGGCTGCGTCGTATGTGATCCTGGGTGTTGTTGCATGCTGGAACGACGTCACCACGGCAGCGCTTTCGCGCATCCGTCCACGAGACCCCACCGCAGTAACGGCGCTACTGCGCCGGCCGGACGGATGTTTGGCATTCATAGAGGGATAGGCACGATTAAAAATGGCATGCTGCATTAGCGGTCAAACTGCCTTCCACACAGACGTATCCGACCTCACCGGCGCTGTGACTAACAAATCCCCGGGTAATCGATCTTCATGGGTAGTCGATGGCCGTCAAGAGCTGAATCATTGCTACCTATACGGCGGTGGTATTCCAGCAGAGAAGGCAGTCGAACTGTCATTGCCGGGTTACGTGGGTTCACATCACAACCAGATCCAGGTCGCACCCTTCAGCACGGGGTGCCTTTGCTGATCAATTTTCGGAATACCTCCAGTGATCACCTCGAGTGCCATGTAGGCCCTGCCCGGGCACTGCAGACGTACCACACCGGCTTATGTTTGGTGATTATGCACGTTATGTACCCAACGTCGGCTTCGACGGAGGTCCATGCCGGCTTTGGCGCACACTTCATACACCATACAGATGGCATACAATTGACTTTCCGTCGTCAAACAGGTGATTTCTTCGGCAAGTCAACGTCTGAGTGTGAAAGATGCAAGTGCAGCATAGAAGCTTAAGATAAACCATGGCGTCGAGATTCCGTCGTAATTGATCTTGCTGCGAAATGATCGAAAGTGACTGGCCAGCACTCGCCAGGAGATGGTGGGTGTCGATTAAAGAAAGTAGGCGTAGCTCTCCAAAACAGTGGTTATGATCGGGTGAGGATGAATAACGTGTGTCAGTTTAGCGAAGCGTCCGCATCCGAGCCAGAAGGGTGGGTGGATGTGCCGTAGAGGCAAAATTTTTAACTGTGAATCGGCCGGTCGCTCGAACATTCCGTCCTTCCGGACGTGTGTACAACTCGGATAATTCAGTTGTGGGTTGTCCGGATTGATGGGTTCTACCTCCGCGTTCTCACCGAAAAAAGCACAACATGAGTGCAAACACTTTGAAAAGCGGGAAAACACAGTCTCATATTGTACTGTTTTCAACTATTTTTATCGGTACTACTTATAAAAACCTATTTACAAAATGGTTTTTCAGATATATTTCTAATACACCGCAATCAATAGACCGCAAGGTAACTAAACTCAGCTGCGGTAACCGAGCGGCTGAAATAAAATGCCAATTTTGCTGCTGAAATTATAAAATTAAACACTCACCTCGATAACATTGATAATTCCGCCCGATGCCGTGGTCACGTCATCACGGCATCGTCGATCGGAAAGTGTGATGAAGGCGTCCAGAGATATTAGTGCCGGTTATGAAGTAAATGCGCTCGCGTACTGAACCGGTTTGATCAGGAGGTTGGCCGGCGCGTGTCCGCGAGCCTCCCGATGACTCCGGTCAAGGCCGCTGCCGACGTCATGATGGGCACGACGATGGTCACTGAGCAGGTCACAAAGATGCACAAATCTGGAACACCTTTACCACAAGTAAAACATCTCCATTGATAACCGAAACTTCCGGAAGTGCTCCGAGCCAGGAAGCTTCGTTGCAAATAATTTAACCTGTCAGTGCGAAAAGCGCACATCATGCGCAGGACGCGACCTCGACAGGTATCTTATCTCGGTCTTCTCAAAAAATCATACCCGCGCATGTGATGGCAAATCGTCTTCACGTACAAAAATGTGTAATTCGTATTAAAGGATGATCTAGGTATTAGCCATGCAGGATACAAAAGCCACTGCCTATGCCTGAATAACTCGAACAAATGCTACCAGCAGGTGCAAAAAACACGCAAATGCGAGCAGATAATACGACACACTCACCGACACGACGCGGAAGTCGAAAAACGTTGGCGGATTCAGTTTTTTCATATGTTTGGTAACCTAGGAAACTGCAGCTGCGGATTGCCACATCCGTACGTCACGGCGGTATTCCGTCGGCTCTCAGATCCAGGACGATGAATTTTTTTCCTTCGAAAATTCAGTATCGAAATTTCTAATTACAAATGCTTTGAGGAAAAAAACAGGTAAAAGCATATGATGGCCAATGCGACGGTAGACACTTCTTCTGCTGCGGGTTAAAGGGCACTCCAGCTGGAGTCGGCACCGCGGCAATCTGCTGATCCGGCATCTTCAGCTCACCACACCCAGCGCGACGTCGGCACGTTGGCCTACTCCACGATCATCATGCCGATATCGCGCTGGGTGCGGTTGCGCTCCTGGAATAAAGCCAGACCGATGCCTTGCATCGCCGCGGGCACCAGTTATCGGATCACGGTGATATCGGCGTCCATCTTGGCGATGCTGGCCTTCAAACCGGTGACTTCGGCCTTGATGGCAGCAATATCTTGTTTCATCAGGATCAAGCGCGGGTAAATATCGTGGTCTCCATTCAGCAGGCTCCCCCACCGCCTCTCCGACTTCTTCCAGGCTGCAAGCCTTAATTGCCTTCACTTGTTAAAGCTGTTAAAACCCGCCCGGTGGAAGTCGGTAATAATGATCTCCTCGTTAACATCCCCTAACTCGTCAACTTCGTCGTCAAACTTTCGTAGGTCGATTCCGATGCGTTGCGCCAGGCTGTGGGCGTGCAACCGCTGGCATTCAATCACGTGTACGGCCATCAGGTATTCGTTGCCGGCTGGAATGTTCTTGGCTTTGTGGTTTTGTAGCTCGTCCTGTATTCGAATACACTTACCCAGCAGCAACAGCATGTCAGTCTGTTGGCGGTGAATGAGCCGTCCTTATCTCGTCAGGGTCCAGTATGAATGTTTTCCGGTGTATGCATCTGGGAGCGGCATCGTTCGCTGCTGCCGGACAGTACCAAGTGGATATGCTTTTCTGGACTTTGTTCTATCGGTTATTGCGCGGTCAAAGGCATATACGAGGCTATTTCGCAATTCAAGGCCGAAGAATTTCCGTCGGAAACTCGTTCACCTTGAAACCGTGAACCGCCCAGCCGCACGGACATTCCCTATTTCCAGATGTATATACAACACACGCAGGTATGCCAGTCCGGATAGATGGATTCCACCTCCGCATTCTTAGTGAAAAAGCAAACAAACAGCACGAGTGCACAAATTATGCATATTCATATAATGTTTTAATCTGTTTTACAATTATTTTTAATACACTGCAGGATAACTAAATCAACTTCCGCTGTATTGACCGAGCGACTAAAATTAAAATGCCGATTCTACTGCTGATCTTAAATTATAAAATCAAATACAGTAATCCCCTCGACAACATTGGTAATTCCGCCAGATACCGTGATTAAGTCATCACGGCAAGTGCGATGACTTCATCCATAATTATTGGTGCTTATTACCAAGTAAATGCGCTCGCGCACTACAGTGTATAACGGTGTAATGAGGAGGTTGTCCAGCGCGCTTCCGCGAGCTTTCGGATGACGGCGTTCGAGGCCCCTCCCGCCGTCACGATGGACACGGTATGGTCACTGAGCAGGTCACAAAGATACACAAGCATGAACGTTGTCACTACAAACACAAAGACATCAAAATTGTGTCGAACTTCCGGAAGTGCTACGCGATCGGAAGCAAATAATTTAACCTATGCCGCCCGCTTTTACGAGTACTTTTACGAGCTTTTACGTTTACATGACTTCCGCTTGTGGCGCCGGCCGCGATGAGCAATATGGTAACAACCTGTCGATGCCTATACTGTTTAAGCGACAGATGCCCGCCGCTTCCGGTTTGCTTCCGACCACCACCGCCCTTAACTACGTACCGGAAGGCAAAAGGCACGATTCCGATTTCTCGCCGAAGCTATCGGTGCATATGTAATCGAGCAACGCACATATTAGCCAGCCGAGCGATGACGACGTCGACGGCCAACGATGGCGGATAATACAGCACGACTCTTGCGTACTGTACATGAGAAACGTAAACCCATTTTTTGCGCGATTGCCTGTATGTCTCTAAGTTCTAACCAGCGCCGTGGTCATCCCGCTCTCAACTTCTCCATCAGGATCGATGAAGCATTGAAGCTCATTTCACCTTAAAAATTACATCTCAGTGGCACAATCGTACAGCTTACAAAACACTAGAAAAGCGAGAAATCGTACAGAAATACCTACAGTACTTTTAAAAGGCGGTCTGAGTAAGTGATGCATGATACGGAAAGCGGCACGTCAGATTAACTAACAGCATTGCAGAAACACATAGGTGACTAGGTCTAAGCAGGAAATGCCTCCCACTCACCGACACGTACCGGAATCCTCTTGAAAAACATTGGTAGCCCTAGTTTTTCAAGGTTGGGAACCGGGGAAACTATAGCTGCGGATTGCTACATCCGAACGCCATGGCGATCCCGGCTGCCCACAAATTCAGGACGCAAATTTCTTGTCGAAACTTCCAGCTGCACATACTGTACTTCCCGGAAGTTGCAAATTACTCTGTAAAGAATGAGATGGTTTCTGTACAAATCTATAACAAAACGCAAAAAAAGGAAGAGCAATATACAAGGTCGAAGGCAGCAGGGTTTCGTAATCACCATTGGATCAGTTTTGCAGCTAACCAGCTTCATTAGATAATATGACTTTGATGTACTTGGCCATCTACAACTCTAACAAAATTTTAAAGCTGATTAGCGTATCTGTACCAATTACTTATTAATAACGGGTTTTTCCATGTTAAAATGAAATTAATTAATTGCATTTACATAGTAATTGATATAGCAGCATGTTATGTAGCATAAAAAAGAGGCATCAGAGACATTACGCGAGAAAGTCATTCGTACAATTGAGGAAACTGTCCAACAAAACTAGCCATAACTTTCCTTCAACAGGTTTTATACTTTTTCAGACAAAAAAAAATTAATTGAACGTAATTACATATTTAATATAGCAATTTATATTTATTTTAGCAAGTTAGAGGCATAAGAGACATAACGCGAGAAAGTCATTTGTATAGAAATCTCAACAAAAAGTTGAATATTTCTGATCCATTTATTACTGCAGCTATCTTCTAGTGTAATTCAAAAGTCTGTAGCTTTCGGTTTTACAAGTGAAGTAAATACTAGATACCATCATTAAAGGGTAACTTACTTCTGAAGCTGCGTTCTCCGTTATACTGCAAGATGTGGACCCCACGGCAAATACGTAAATTAAAACAAAATATCCCGATGCACAGGCAGGGAAAATTGTCCAGAATTCATAGGGTATTTCATGCAAGGCTGCAAGAAAGCATTATAAAATAACTGCATCGCATTCCTTGATGTATAATCCACAAAATATCGCAGTTATTACGATATCCGTTCAAAAGAGTTATGATCAGAATTTTTAGGCAGTCTTTTTGTAAAGTCAGATCGGTTGGCAGAATTACCGTAAAATCCGATATTAACGCCCTGGGCGTTTAATTTTTCAAAAGCTAACAAAGCGGATGCGCCAAAACTTATTAAGCGCCGGTAATCTCGGTAGCGGGCGGTAATTTCGGGGGGGGGGGGCGTTTATTATTTCGTGGCCCGCTGGAGGGGGCGTTTAAAACCGCGGGGGGCGTTAATTTCGGGGGGGGGGCGTCAATATCGGATTTTACGGTAGGTAGATTCCATATGGTGCTGACAGTTAACACTAATAGTCGTAACTGGATGGAAATCATCCAATTATGGTATCAAAGTTATCAAAAAGTTTGCCAAATAAATACGCTGCGATCACAATTATCACACTGCACAGAGAAAAGATGCTCTCTACTTCCGTGTGCCATGCTGCAAAATTGTAAGCATGAAAACGGCGCTGCAGTGAGCAGAAAAATTATGAACGGTTTGATATATGCCCCTTACCTATGCCCCGACAGCTTTTTAGCATTTTAAAATCGATGTGCGAAGCAGGTGCGCGCTCGGTTTGCGTGCCGAAGTTGTCGCTATCGCATGCCACCCACGGGTGCTGCGCCAGATTCAAAAATCTTGCTGTTCGCTTCACTGTTTGCAATTTTACAGAAAATGTTTTACTGTAATAATACTGCCCTCTAGAAAGCCTTCAGTTACGTCCAATCTGTTGAGGCTATAGCTTAAAAAATGCAGGAAAAAAATTTAATTAGAAAAATAGGAAGTTTGCAAGTAAAAAGTTTTTGGAGAAGCGAGATATCAACGATTAACGCTTTTTGCGTTTAACGTACTCCTCTACGGGGCAGTTTGCCATAGACTTGTATGCTAACTGCAATTTATTTAAGACGTTGATATCTCGCTTCTCCGGAAACTTTTTACCTGCAAACTTTTCATTTTTCATAATAAAAATTTTTTCTGCATTTTTTGAGCTATAGGTTGAACAGATCGAATGAATCTGAAGGCTTTCGAAGAATACCGAACCTGCAGGGGTTGCCCAGTACGCAGGACTTTTGGCACACACATTTTCCGCAGCCGAAAAGCTGTCGGGGCATAGGTAAGGGGCATATGTTTGATATGACTGTTATGGACGTAAACGTTGCTAGCAGTATGTCTGGTGAGTGGTAATCAGCCAATCTTATCTCGTCATGCTCCAGTGTTGATGTTTTCCCGGCACGTGCATCCGGACCGCATAATCGCAAGGCTGCCCGGACTCCGGACCACGGTATAGAGAATACAATTTTCTGTTGTCAGCTGTTGCACGCTTCGTCGCACTGCACTTTTGGTTGTCACATCAAAGGGTCAAGAGCACAGCGCTGCCTTTCCAAATTTCACAGCCTGGTGGTAATCGGTTGTTTGTCGGTTGTTAACAGAGACATTCGGATTTGCAATATTCTGAAAAAGAAATAGGAAGCCAACGGTTTACAAAGGGCAGGATCGAACCCGTAGAAGCAATCTGGAAATGGCATTTACTAACTCTAGCATTTACCGTTCAGCGGCGTTCTCAATTCGACTACCGAAGGGATGAACGCCAGGATAGCGGTCTAGGTACTGTATTTACGGTGCCGTACTCGACAAAACAGTGAATATTCCCTGATATTGGCAAATTAACTAATGCGGAGTGCCGAAAAACGCAAAACTTACAGCAAAATATTGTAAGCAGATCGATGCTTTGGTATAAAGGGCATCGACTGATCGACGCCTGAGGCTGTTAACCGGTCGTATAGTGGCTGGACCGCGGTGGAGTTCCGTCTGCTGACCGGTTTTGACTGTGACACTCTTGAACTGCGCGCATCGTGAGACGACGTCAAATGACGACACGTATCGGGACTCTTAAGGATGGCTTCTAGTAACGCGGCAGTTTCAGAATCTGGACCGTATCGTCGTTACTGTCAGTGTAGACGTCCATGGTCAGCTGAATGACATCGCGCTGGATACACGTGTTGAGTGAAAGGGCATGGCGGAGGTCGACCGCTCGATGACTGCTCATCTTAGGAAGCACTGGTGGCAGTTGTGGTGCTTAGACTTCGAGGTTAAGTTAAGCTGTTGAGGATCTGTGCGACAATTAGTTAGAGTACTGCTGTAGACCAGGCATTCCCTCGCGGTGTGCAGATATTCGCTTAGGACGCCCAGGTAGTCCTTAACTTAGTAGTATTCATCGTCCGGGAGATCACAGTGCCGTTGCTCTCCTGGAATCTCTGCCGTTGGCAAAGCATTGTGCAACCCTGGTTCGAGTACCTTGCGTCCCGTGTAGGGTACTGCCCGGCAACTACAGACGTGCCCACCGGTTCCTCTTCGGTGGTGATCCAGGTTATGTACTCAATGCCAGCTTTGGCGCGCACTACACACACCATGCAGATGACGTAACTGACTTGCCGTCATCGGAAAGGTGATTCCTGTAACGGTATCGATTAATTGTCAACGTCTGAGTTTGAGGTATGCATTTACAGCATAGCATCTTAAGATGTACCATGGCTTTTAAATTCCGTCGTTGTTGATCTTGCTGCAAATGATCGAAAGTGACTGGCCCGCACTCGCTAAGGACAGATTGGGGTGTCATTTATAGAACGCAGGTGTCGCTCTCCACAACACCGACTGCGTTCGGGTGCGGATGCTTCACGCGGGCGTCTGAGGACTAGGAGTGAAGGTATCCGCATCCGAGTCAGACGGGTGGGTAGATGTGCCTCACGGGTGAAGGTGCCATAGACGCAGAATTTTTAGTGACCAGTAGCACAGTCAGGTTTGCGTGCACTGACACGATGATACTTTATAGTCCTTAATGAAATACTCGTAAGTGCTAAGCCATTAATTACTTTACTTATGGTTAGCGGCACTCCCATAAAAGATACTTACTGTTGAATAGTCTGACTCGGCAGTCCCGCTCGATTCAGCAGCACAACAATCTGCTGATCGCGCATTCCCAAATCTCCCCAGACTCCACAGTCATCATGCCGATCTCCGCTGTTTGCGCTCCAGAAATAAAGCACGATCCCATGCCATGCACCGCCAAGGACACCAATTGCCGGATCGCGGTGATATCAGCGTCCATCGTGGCGGTGCTGGCTTTTCTAGTCGGTGATCTCAGCCTTGATATCAGCGAACCACTCGCTTGATCCACCTGGAAGAGGATGTTGCTAGTAGCGACGTCCTGCTCCACCTGGATCAAGCGCTCGTGCATATCGTGGTACGGTGGTATCGTGCGCTCCTTCGACTTCTTCGAGGCGGGTCTTTACAGCTTTCGCTTCCGTATACGGAAGTAAAGCCAACATAATGACGGGCGTCAACGACCAAATCATCATAAGGTAATGATCTGGTCGTTCACGTCCGCCAGTCTGCTGACTTCATCGTAGAACAGGCGACAGGTGACCCCGGTACGCTGGACCAGGCTCTGTGCGTGCATTCGCTGCTTTTCAATCACATTCAACGCGGCTTGGTACTCATCCCGTGTGAACGATCGCCCGTCCAGTGGTAAGGCTCCTCCTCCGTTGTTTGCCGGTTGTGCAGCCAGTTACTCTGTTCCACCTGGAAGCAGACACACAGGGCGGATGTGACTCTACTTCCAAATGGAACAGAGTATCCAGAGACTGCGGCCGGTGGGCAGTGGCACGGGTGCCTGCAGTATGTAACTGCGATCACATTGGTGTGGCCGACAACGTTGGACGGATCAAGCGGATATTAAATTGTACAATTTACACAGATACTAAGCCATCATTTATGTGTTAATTTATCGCCCTAGAAAAACTTCACAAAATTTAAGTACAGTAATTTGAGTAATTTAGGATTGCACAAGTGCACTTGTAAAGTATAATTCGTAGAAAAACAGTAGCGCCAAAATGCATGACCTGGTCTATCTCGGCTTGCTGGGCGGCAGCGAACGCGTCAATATTTTTACAAGTATCCAATTTACAATTAAACGAAATGTCGGTTTAGCACCAGCGACTTGGCGCATGTTGGATATCCCTGAAAAATTTCTGTAATTACTCGTACAACAAATAATGCACATATTCAAGAATTATCAGACCGAAGGGCTTTCTTGATGTCGGTAACAAGCAGCATTAAATCGTCTAGTCTACAGCTGATGTGCAAAAGCAAAATTTAAAAGCAAACTTGCAGCATGCGAGGCAAAATATCGTCATTTGTCTAACCCCGCTACGAAAATATGC